CACATTTAATTCTTTAAATGTCCATTCCACGAACCCAAAAACAACGTTAACTTCCTATTCACTCATAAATGGTTTTGACGAACCGTTTTTATCGTGTGATTTGCCATGCAGCAAGGAACACGTCACCTCTTCGGACCCACTCCAAAAACGTTTAGGACCCACTCTATTTTGGGCTCAAAGTTGGCCCAAAATAAGCCTATAAAACCAAATTTTCCAACATTCAGTTCTTGGAAATGGTAATCAGCCTCGATAAGGACCTTGATCAATTCATGGTGAGGCTCCTCACTTGGTTCATACTTGTATGTATGCCTGTATAATTTCTCTTTATGTGTATGATTATATGTAGGTTTTGTTTAAATTTGATTGTTTTGTTATTGCAATATGATGTGATTTGTCAAATTAGAACAATAGTTTGATGTTTGGTTTATCATTCTCTGTCTAATTTTAGACATAAATTTGGAAAAAAAAACTTGAAACGTGAATAATCAAAGTAAAAAAAAGAAAAGAAAAAAAGACTCTAAGGACTAAAATGAGAAAAGGGCCAAACATATAAAAATCCTCCTTTAATGGATAATAAAGTCCATTCTACAAAAGCCCTTTCTTTATGGAGAAGTTGTCCCAAACAGCGTAACTATTCTTTTTCTATGGTTTAGACAGATTTTTTTATTGGATAATAAAAAAGGAAAAAGTAAAACCAAAAAACAAACAAACAAAAACCAAAAAGAAGTTTTGAATAAAGCATGATCTTGCATTTCCAAATGCAAACATTTGTGAATGTCAAACACATTGTTCTCTTTTGTAACTTCCTATGCTGATATGCTTTGCCTTCGGAGTTATATTTGTCTATAAACTTGCTCTTAAGTCCTTTTTTGGGCCTTTGGCTTGGCAATCCACTGAACTTTTTCTAATTTCTGATGTCAGACAAATTTGGAGCTGCAATGACGGTTGTAAAATCTGATATTCGTGGTAATATATCGATAAGATGCTTTTCTTCTTAATTTTCACTTATATGCTCGTTTACATTTAATTAATTATAATCCTCTTCAGTAAAAATAAATAAATAAAAGTTAACATGTCACACTATGCCAATTTATGATTGGCAAAAGATGGTAAATGCACTATTGGGTACATATTGAATTTGTTCTTTGTTGTCCTAATAATGTTAGTTTAAAACGTGGTCTTGAAGTCTTGTACTGGATATAAATTTGTCGAGCTCAATTTGGAAGATTTTGGATTTGGGTTTCTATATATTTTGTTTGACGAAGTCTAACTGGAAAACATAAATGCTAACCTACATTATATACATCTCTCTAGTTAAATAAAGTATAATGAAATTTTTGCATCTTTATATTATGTTTTTAATACTGAAGGTTGTGGAACTGTAGTGCCTTCAATGTTCAAGATTTATGAAAATGCAGACTGTCACAAGTAACAAAATTTGATGAAAACTGCTAAATGATTTTGATTCTGAAACAATTAGGATCATGTTGTATACTGGTGAGAAAAGAAAATTTTGGAAACACTGCATGTAATTGTCAAACTAAAGTTTACTAGGCAGGCATGAGGTTCAATTTGGAGGCTGTATAAATTTTCAACAAAATAGAAACATTAAAATGATTTTGATGGGATTATATGCAGAGTATAATATATCTAGATTATTAATTTTAATTGTAGAATTGTTATAATTTGCAGAGTATAATATGTCTAAATTATTAATTTTATTATAATTTGAAATGTCAATATTATTGAATTAGTGCCAATGGTTATTTTATTTATTTTTCTTTTTTTACATATTGCTTTTGTATGGGCTATTGTAGATGTGTACGAAGAGTATTTGTTCTGTATATGAAAGACATTTATTTTAAAACAATCCTCTGTTTTGGAAATTCAGTGTTTTTGTATGTAATAAGTAATTTAGATAGATTATACTTGCTTTGTATGGATTTATATGATATTTGGAATATGATGTTACGAGTTAAAGTTTTTGAATAGTTGATAATGAAATGAGTATTATTCATAATGGATTTAGATTATAATTGATAGATGTATTATTCTGTATATGTACAGGTTATAAGTTACAGGTTGCATTGATAATGAAATGCATATAATTTAAAAATTAATGAAAAATATTTAATTTGAGCCTTTTAAAATAAATAAATAAATAGAGCTTGAGCTTTTGGCGACTAAATATTTAGTAGCTAAAAAATAAAATGGAACTTATTGGCGACTAAATAGCTGGTAGCCGAAAAATAAAAATGAAAGTTTTTGGCGACTAAAAAATTAGTCGCCACGCCAAAAAGGAGTGTCACGTTTTTAACGACTAAAAAATTGGTAGTTAAAAAACTAAAGATGAAAAATATTTTCTTTTGGCGACTAAATATTTTCTTTTAGGCGACTAAATTTTTAATCGCCAATTGGTGACTTTCAGCGATTAAAAAAAAATTAGTCGCCAATACCTTTCCTGACAATCATCTATCGACCAAACTGACAACTAAAAAATTTAGTCGGCAAAAGTTTTCGACGACTAAAAAATAACTTTTGGTGACTAAAAATTTAATCGCCAAAAGTGTAATTTGTTGTAGTGATTCTATATTCAAAGTCAATAATAAATGTTAAAAGTACATAACATTAGACTTCAAATCAACAACTTGAATCAAAAGAAAATGTGTATAAAATTAGATATTTCAAAGTGTAATTTATTCAAAAAAAGTCCCAACTAATCAAAATAAAATTATTTGTTTGTAGGCTAATAAATACACTAGGTTGTTACTTAAAACATTATGTAAAAAAATGAATCCATGATCAGTGGCGAAGCCACATGAAGGTCAGGGGTGTCACGTGCCCCCTCCTCTCCCAACCCACCCACCCACCCAAAAAGAAGAGAGCATTTGTTACTTAAAACATTATTAAAAAAGAATCCTGATCAATGGCGAAGCACATGAAAGTGTCAGGGGTGTCCACGTGCCCCTACTCTCTCCAACCCACCCACCCCCACACCGCCACTGACCCGTCCGCTGAGTTTTGGATTTACAATTTTTTATTATCATAATGTATATAAATAAAATTTTAAAACAAAAAATGTTATTTAGAGATAAAAATGTCAATGGCAATTTTTAATTTAGAGAAATTTATAGTGATTTGTTTTAATTGGAAAATAAAAGGGACTATAAATAATTATATTTTATGTGTGATAATTTTGTAAAAAATATCATATAAAGATAATATCTATCATTATGATATATAAAATATATTAATCTCACTAAATATAATATTATAAAAATTACTAGAAGTTTAGTTGATAATTTGCATGTAGAGTAGGAATGGCAACGGGTGGGGCGGGGCCGGGGAAATAACACCTCCCCGCTCCCGATCCCCAGAATGGCGATTTTCCCCGGCCACCGGCCCCGAAGTCCCCCAACGGGGATCTACTCATTGCCCCACCCCCGCCCTCCAATCGAGGTTTCCCCCGACCCCGCAGCATTCCCCGGCTAGAAAAACGAAGAGAAAAGAATTTCAGATCCGTCACACTCACACACACCATGATCAAAAAATACTTATGTTGTTTAGGATAT